TATAATAAGCTTATCCATTCAGTACTCCGTTATGGATAAATATTGCTCTCAGTAGAAGATTATCCATATCTGGTACAACAGCAGCTTACACAGCAGCTTGTAGCAGCTTACACAGCAGCTTGTAGTAGCAGCTTACACAGCAGCTTATAGTAGCTTACACTGCAGCTTGTAGTAGCAGCTTACACTGCAGCTTGTAGTAGCAACTTACAGAGCAACTTCCTTTCTTCTATAAATAGAAGAGATTTCAGTTCACTATGTACATCAGTTTGAATTCGAATAATATATCAGTTTGTCTCTATACTTGTCTTTAATTTATAGTCTTTATTTCATAACATAATATATATATATATATGTGTATAATAACAGTTTTAAATATCTTCTTTTTCTTTTACCCACTTCGCCAACTGTTATCACCAAGCTACACGTGGGCAATTTCGAGACCCGCAGAACTGCGAATTACTTGTGCGTTTTGCCTTTCTTTGTTCGTCGACGGAGTTTCCCGCAGTCCCCAAATCCCCAAATGTTGAAATTCAGAGAAAATTCAAAGTTGCAGATGACTCTGTTCATCTGAGTTTGAATTCCACTCAATTTATACAAAGTCACAATTCAAGCCAATAAACAATGGCGGAAATTCCATCTTCTTCCCCCAAAACATTGGAATTACCTTCCAACCGTATAATTAACCCTGCAAACCTAGTTGCCGCACCATCATCATCGACGGCATCGTCCGATCCCGGAATAACCATGACTTCTCCTTCTAACAACAACAATTCTATCTCACAATCTCCTTCAATTGAGATGCAGTCTCAACAAATGCAGCAACAGCAAATTCAGATGCAGCCTCAACAAATGCAGCAACAGCAATTGACACAATCTCAACAACAACAGCAGCAACAAATGCAGCTTCAGCAGCAGAATAATAATAATTCTACTAGTCTTAACGGCAGTAATAATAATAACTTAATGGCCGCCGCCTCTAATTTTCAGATGCAGAGATCACCTTCCATGTCGAGGTTGAGTCAATTCCAAATGCAACAGCAGCAACAGCAATTTGGTTTGATGAGGCAGCAATCGGGAGGAGGAGGGCTTTATGGTCAAATGAATTTTGGTTCCGGTGGTACTGCCCTCCAGCAACAGCAATTACAGCAACAACAATTGCAGCAGCAACAACAGCAACAACAATTGCAGCAACAGCAGCAACAACAACAGCAGCAGCAACAGCAACAACAGAATCAACAACAGCAGCAGCAAATAGGAGGCCAAATGGGTAGCGGAAATTTAACTAGGGCAGCTTTAATGGGACAGACTGGCCATCTTCCCATGTTGTCCGGACAAGCTGCTGCAGCTGTCGCCCAGTTCAATTTGCAATCTCAATTTTTGAATCCGGTACCACTTCAGCACTTACAGCTTTCAAATTCAGTTTTATGTTTTGCTAATTCTATTCTTGAGCCATTAAATGCATGAATTTGGTTTGACCATGTACTTGTTGAAGACACAATTAAGTAAATAAAAGTGTGTTATCTCTAACAGCTTAAGCTTTTAGATGAGATAGTCCATTCCAACATGGTGGTGTTATTTTGAAGACACAACTGCTATTTGTCATTGTTGCTTTATGTGTTTCTGAAAAAAGTTCTATTGTGGGTGCAGCCACGGCAGAAGGCAGGTCTAATGCAGGGGAATCAGTTTCACACGGGGAATTCCCATGGCCAGTCCTTGCAGGGTATACAGGCAATGGGAATGATGGGATCTCTCAACATGAGCTCTCAGTTAAGGGCAAATGGTGCCCTTGCATATGCACAACAAAGGGTCAATCAAAATCAGTTGAGGCAGCAGTTGTCCCAGCAAAATCCTCTCACCACTGCTCAGGTGCCAATCTTCGAACATGCTAGTAACATATCTTTAATGCTAAAAACTAACCCTCTCATTTATTCTGATGAGTTTTCCACTTGACACCGTGGTAAAAATTGGAGATGACTCTTTCAGAAATCTAGTTGCAATTTTTTCTCCAGGTTGTGTAACCCAAAAAAGTTGTCCGCAGCATTTGTTCTTCAAATCATTCAGGTCATGAATTTGGTCATCAGTCATAGCAGCAAATCAAAGAGAATCTTTTGTGTTTTCATTCTCCTAGATATTTCCTATCACATGAGAGTTTGTTCCGAGATATTTCTGTAAAAGATTGCTCTGGGTAATTTCTAATGTATTTTGTTGACTAACAGGTCAAAACTAGGATATGACTCTTGTTTATGAAATCTGATAGCCGGATACTTGGATTATGCAATCACAACAATGACACACATGCATAAACGTGTAACGTCATTCAAAGTAACTTGGTATATAGTAAATAAATGCTGATTTTTGGCACAAGGTTCATGTTTAACTTAATTTTATCCAAAGGAAAAAAAGGCTCATGTTTAACTTTGTTCTGGCATTTCATAGTATCAGGAGACAAAGAACTACTCACTGATGAATACATGAGGGCTATTGCATGTTTTAACACATTGAGATTTATGGGATGCCCATGAATATTTTTAGTACTACTTTCTAGAGAGCCTTTAGCCTATGGTACTGTATCTTCTGAGATTTTTCACTGTACCTACCGCTTTACAAACTCTCACCCTGAGGTGGCACAAAACTTCAATGCGCGTTAAAGCTTTAGGTGGTATATGAGAATAACCTTGTAAAGACAAAAATTCCTTGTGAAAAGTTTGAATTTGATTCAAAGAAACATAGGTTTGCTGCTCTTACAGTTCTTTTGTACTATATTTCCAGCATGTCGTTCTTATCTGAACCTCATTGAGTATGCAGCTATTTCTCGGTTTATACGCTGTAATAGCTATGTCTGGAGGTGCCAATTATGAACATTTAGTACTAGAGGAAGTATCATTAACACAGTTTGTCCCATTTGCTTTCTGTAAAATACTTTGGGATTTGATGCATTTACATTTTATAACTTAAAAGCTCAATCTTTTTTTAATATTACGTTTTTAGTAGCAGCTTTTTATGTTCGTTATGTTATTCAAGTTCGACAGTTTTTCTTTCCTCAAGTACATTCTATTACATGTGTTTTGTTAGGTAATCCTATGTTTTCAACCCCTATACTAGTTGGATTAAATTTTGGGTAAAACAATCTTTGAGTTACTTGCTTCAATCACTTTATTCTCTACATAACAAATAACAATATCCATCAAGGTGGACGATCTAACCTGTAGGCACCGAACTTGCGAGTTATAGTTATGTTCTGAGGTGTGGAGGAGAAGCTTGGTGTCTGTTTGAGGAATTGATGGTTCATAGATAAGCGATGCAAACAATCATAATGGGGGTTTTGCTTCTATACATTAATTTACATTAATAATAATAAATTCATTACCTTATAAGAAAAAAGAACATTTGGCTTTTATATACCTCTTGTATCTACTTCAATAAAATCTTTATCTTATTTTTTTTTAAAAAAATTGAAACTTTGCACAGAACAACGAGTGATTTTTTTTCCTGGAAAGAATGATCTTAGCCAATGGATATTGTTATCGACATTTCAGTTAGGTGCACGTGAGCTCCTTTACTCATCTTGTTAATTTTCAACTTGATATTAAGATAATGAAAATGTACCTCTGGCACAAAAATATCCTTGTCTAATTACAAGTTAATTGAATGCCAAGATGAAGTCTTGTTTATAAAGTGCTTTAGAGTTGTGGATTTCTTCATTTGCTAGTGATTTGAAGCTGATGGTCATTTAAGGCTGTCATAATTACATAATTATCTTCACTTCTTTAATTTTGCTTTCTCCTTTTGGTAAATCACATGTAATCCTCTTGTGGAATTTAATGTACATCTGATAGTCTCTTGTCAGTTCCTTATTACATAGCAACANTGTCAGATTCCTTATTACGTAGCAACGATTTGTTTTTAGTGCTCACTTTGATGTTACAATTTACTGTAGAAAATATCGGTTCAGAACCTTCCAAGGACGTCATTTATTAACCCTCAGTTACCTGGATTGACTCAGAATGGACAATCTACAATAATGCAGAACAATTCATCACAGCAGCAGTGGTTGAAGCAAATGCCTGCTATTTCTTCTCCTAATTCCCCCTCCTATCGTCTTCAATCGCAGAGGCAGCAGCAACCAATGCTTATGCAGCAACAATTAACTTCATCTCAACAGTTGCATCAAAATTTAATTGGTTTGAACCCACAGCAACTATCCCAAATTGTACAACAGCAACAACAGATTGGCCACCCTCAGATGCATCAACAGCAGCAGCAACAACAGCCACAGCAGCTTTTGCATCAGCAGCAGTCTTCTCCAAGGATGGCTGCCCCAGCTGGCCAAAAATCTCTGAGTTTAACTGGGTCACAACCAGATGCTACTGGATCTGGAACAACTACTCCTGGGGGAAGTTCAAGTCAGGGGACTGAAGCAAGCAATCAGCTTCTTGGAAAGAGAAAGATACAGGATTTGGTTTCACAGGTCCTTCCTCCACTTCACTTTATTAATCTCTAAAATCCTGTTGTCTATGTTGGTTGCTCCAAATTGAAATATGGATATCTTCTTTAGTTTTGAAGTGCCCAAAATCTACTTCAGAAATTTTGTGAAAGATTACATATACTGATAGTGATAACATTCCTGTCCTCCCTCCCAACTTCAAAAGACTCACTTTAAATTTCAGTCACAGCATATAGTGTTGACCCATACTATTAGGTCAACACTGTTACTGTTGTAAAGTCTTCCACCAGCTGATTTTGCTCACTGATGTTGAGCAATCACTATTGTAATTTTTCAGGTGGATTCACATGGAAAGCTTGATCCTGAAGTTGAAGATCTTCTTCTAGAGATTGCTGATGACTTCATTGATTCGGTAGGCTTGAATATGCTTCATTAATTGTTTTTTGTCTTTCTTTTCTGGGTAGGGCAGTTGCTGGGTTGGTTGTGGTTTGCTGTGTGTATCACATTTGGCTATCACTGATTTGGGTACCTTTCGGGTGAAATCGTTGATGTGCTAGCTTGTTAGACTGCATAGTTGTTAATAATATGCACTTAAAGGAGATATTGCCATCCTGCTGATTTTGGTTTCCCTCCTCAGTCCTCTCTTTTTCCTGTTCTTTTTCTTGTTTGTTGTAAAATCTCTTCTTCATTACCTTTTCATTATTCCATTCAATTTGGACTTCTAAACACAGTCAAAGGATGATAATGAATCTTCTTCGCAAGGTTCTGGTATAAGATCATCAAGTGAATCGACCTTGGATTGTAAATCAAGGACGTTGTTGTTTTCCTGCCTTGGCAGTTGTCTAAGAATATTTCTTTTATCAGAAAGTGATTGACATTTTTATTTTAGTGCTTGGTTATTAAATGATATCAAAAGCTTATTTCTCTAATACCCTACATGTCGTTTATATTCCTAATGAAATGGTGATATGCTACAAGATGTGAGTCATACTTTTATTTGGGCAAAGGATGGAAAGATAACACAACCATATCCAATTGCATGTTCCCTGGTGTCCAATCTATTGCCTTGCACGTGGTAGCTTTCTAGCAATGTCTGCGCCTCAGAGCCATAAACATGATATCACCGTTAGGGTCATTTCCAGTCCGCAATAAACTGCTGCAGTCCTCAATTTAACTAGAGTTACATACTCCTATGACTTCAGGGTGTTGCTCCCCGGGTGCCCTTTTTCTTTTCTGGCTAATACTGAAATTTTTGGCTTGTAAATTATGTTTTATGCAACCACGTCAGGTGATTGTTGCAATACTTCTATTTTTTTGTAAACTAAAATTTATTACCCTGGCACTTGTACCAGTTTGCTCTACCACCCTTTTGTATGTCACCAGCCTCATCTAAAATTCTTTGTGCAGATAATTGTTCATGAAAAACTGACATGCATGAATTTGTTTTACATTGATTATTTATCATGCTTTTTACGTACTTATGTTCAACGCCTCATTGTAGGTTACTACATTTGCTTGCAATTTGGCGAAGCATCGGAAATCTTCGACTTTGGAGTCCAAGGATGTACTGTTACATCTAGGTTTGTGCCTGCAACTGGAAATAAAGGATCTATTCTTTAGTTTGTTTCCATTATTTAGAAAGACCGTTTTTATCACTTGGTACAGTTTTTACTTGTAAAGATTGCATTATTAGGTACAAAGGTTGCATTTGTATGGTGTATATTTGTTTTAGTATATTTCTACTTTTTTTTTTGTTGATTAGTATACTCTTTACCGGCTTATGTAGTGAGATAATCCCCGTTTAGGAAGAAAACAGCTATCCTGGGCAATAGGTATTATGGCCGTAGACAAATAGAATGCCTTCGGTTTAAGGCTCTCCCAGTAGTCCCCCCCCCCCAAATGTTCATTAGCTTCCAGGATACTAGGAAAGATCGTGGTCATGTTCAGAATTTATGGAGCTATATGCTGTACTGGATAATGGCAGTTTTATCTAGCATTTTCACTTTGATACCAACTTTTATCATATCATCTCCTTCACTTTCTTATGCATCTTAAGCTTTTCATCTGCTTATGGCACACACATGTCACCACTTTCATATTTATGAGTAGCTAGCAAAATTTTCAATGGACAGGTTATAGTTGAATACCAAGCTCTCTATTATCATTAGGAGTAGTTGAAGCTTAAGCTCCTGAACGTGAGTTCCAGGAACTTAAATATCTAATTGTCCCTAATGGTATAACAATATGACCATGCATCTGAGAGATACAAATTGTAGTTGTTGTATATATAGAGAGAGATCAAGTGGTTTTAAAAGTTTTCACCCATTTCATGTTTTAACTACAGCAGGTAACATTTCTTGTTAAGGTACTAACTATCTCAAATATTTTGAATATGTAAACATCATTATCAGTAAGGACCAGCTTTTTTTTGCCTAATGCACTCTATTTTATCGCGCATGGAGAGCTACTTTAGGATGTCTTCAAGTATTAGCGAGAATGTTAGAATGTTTGCAGTGGGGGCACTTGCATGTGTAAACACCCACAGACATATTTAGGATAAGTTGTAATTGGTATATTAGGGAGATGTTTTATATCATCTAGTGATGTTTTATATCATTTTCAAAGAAATATAGGAAACTGAGGTATTTTTCTAATCTAATTGTGATTTCTACAGAGAAAAACTGGCATTTGACTATTCCAGGCTTTTCAAGCGAGGAGAGGAAACACTATCCAGAACATGTATGTATCTCTGCCTCTCTTTCTTAGCTTTTACGTGGTGGTATAGTCCCTTTTTCTATCTGCACTAATGTCGAATAATGAGATAACATGAATTATGACTACTAGATGTACTCTGACAAAATATCTTTGCCTCATCCTTGTTCATTGGTTTGGTTGCTGGTTGTAGTCCACCAGTTGCTGGTAATCTACTTATTTGTCATTGGTTGTAGTTATTAAAGCTGGGTGAAAATTAATGTTTTCTTTGACAATGTGTTTCTAATTCTGTGCAGTCACCAAGTGATCTCCACAAAAAGCGTTTGGATGTGGTGAGTGCAATTCTATATGATAATACAACCTGCCTCAATCTTGGTGGATAACTTTTAGAACCGTTGTTAATTTGACTTAGATACGTACGTTGATGGAGGCCTCACAAGCAGAAACAAGTGCACATACTAGTGCTAAGGAGACCGTCAGACCAGGGGTGGGTGACTCAAATCACATGATCAGGCCTCCAAGTTCAGAGAAATTGGTCTCACAGTCTAATGCTTCACAAATGCTGCATGAGATGACAAAGTTTTGATGTCCCAGGAGTTCTTGGTTATCTCCCGTGTTAACTGTACAGACCTGAATGGTAAATGTCGCTTCTTCTAGGATGAATTCTGCTGTAATTTGGTTTACTGGAGAATCCAGCGTTTAGTGGCTCTTAATTTTCATGCCCCATCACTAGTTTGTATAAGCGATTGTTCTCTAGACCAACACCAGTTGCACATTGGATAAATGTGCCATATATAGTGTGGTGTTCTAAGTTATGTCTTAGCTGCTGCAAGTGATAATAATGCTGTTACTTTTTTGGCTTTCACTGCAAATCAGTAGTGACAAGTCATTTTGTCATGATCATCTTTTACCTGTCATGCACTTGGATTATCATGTTTACATATACGAACGAGCTAATCATATTCTCCCTGTTGCAGATCAATAATGATAGGAGGCATAAGTTATATAGGTGTAGCTTAATGGAAGTTTTTGAGACTTGAGGCGTGCGAAGAAAAAGTGTAGAATGAACCACCAATAGTTGAATGGTCTTAAAGGCCTGTAAAGTATGCAGTTTAGTTGACAGTAGCTAATTCAGCCTGTGACGATGAACTTGCTCAGATTTGGTTTCTCCACCATAGTCCGCTGGATGACATGTTCACTAATATCCTGTAAATTATTCTGTTAGCCACCTCTTCGTTCTGTATACCAGCGAACGAGGTCAAATCTTTGTTTTACCGTTTATCATAGTTGAAACATTATATCGAACAGGTTTTATGCTGTTAGATATTACAAACAGATTTTTTCCAAGGGTCCCTTTTAGATTTCACTGTGGTAGAGACGTGAATTGTTTTATAGAAAATCGGTTTAACATATTCATTGCAAGAATTTCAGCTTATAACTACTGGGATTTACCAATTACTCTGCTCATATTTCATGTCAATGTGCTCTACGCAATGCAGGATTACTTATAAAAGACGCTTTTCGTCCGACAGAACGGCTCTCTTCAAGAGACAAAAGTATATATGGAGACCTCGAAAAGATATCAAGAGTCCTAATATATTCAAATTTTGACTTATAAATTTACAGCAGTGGAAATGGAATATTCAAATTTTTAGCAGTAATGACGAAAGAATCCATCTAGCTTCTGCATCACCGTTGACCATTATTTGAGAAGGCTATGAGAAGTTTAAAGTTGAGAAAACATTTCCTGAACGTTTCATAAATTGCCTCCACCAACATAATTAGCAGAACACTGGCCTGCAAATTATCATCAGATGCAAATATTGACAAACTAGGATGAATACCCTGAAATTCATTCTCTGAAAATGGCTGATTTACATATACTGCCTCCATTTATGTTGCTTAGACTCTCCTAAAATGTGGTCTGGTGCGTGTCGGATCCTCCAAAAATAGTGCATTTTTGGAGGATCCGACATGGTATGGCATCATTTTGGAGAGTCTACGCAACGTAAGACTCCATCAACAATTCAACATGCTTATGCAAGCAAGTGCCTACTATCCTTAGACGCTGTATTAAATGTTTCTATCTCCTTTAAGGAAATTGAAATACACAAACAACACATTGAAATACACAACGGCGCTTTAAAGTAGTGAGGTAAACAGCATATTGAATTCTAAACCAGGTCGCCATTTGAAGAAGCGACCTATTGGAAAATAATCTTTATCCTTTGAATCCATCACCTGAAAGTGGATGGTGATTGATATTGTGAGCACGTGATTTGTTTCGCGCGACAATCGCTCCAAAAGAAATAAAAATAATAACAATTGGTCCTGCTGTACAATTTTTGGATTTTTACATGGCACTTTGTTAATTATTTATGATTTTTGCCCATTTTATTTTATTAAAACAAAATACAAAAAATGTATGTGTCATGCGTAATTTGAACCGTAATCCGGTTGTTAAATAGAAAATCATAAATAGGCATCTTGGTCCGAGATTTTTGTTTTGTTTGATTTTACCTGTTTTAAATATTTTAATATATGTGTGCAAATAATTGTATTAAGTGTTTATTTAATTTTAATTTGATTTACTTAGGTTTTGTTTTAAAATAAAAAAAA